TCCGCGTGCGACACTTCGCCTTTGAGGGGGTTGCACCTTCTGCAGACGAAGCAGTGGGTCTATTTATATCTCCCTGACCCACTGGGGGTGAGAAATTCGTTCGGGAAAAATTCAACCCACAATTTTGTAGAGCTATTGTTTTTTAACATACACGCAAAATAACAAACTATTTCCATTGAAAATTAACTGAAAAAGACACATCAACAAAATCAAAAATGCTGCATCCATGGCAACGACACTTTTTTCTAAAACTTTATTTGAAGTCCACACTACGCTTGTTATTTATGTGAAATATGGTCCACAAATAAGCGAAATTGCCCTCAGCTACCCCCCACAGAGACACGCACCCTGATGTACAAAGAAAGCTACAGATCGCGCCCTACCATTTGACTCTTCAATTTAAGGAACAATCAAAATATCTAAGAGACACAATTCCTCCTTAAACAAAGTCTTCACTTACCAAGACTTTCAATGTCAATTGAATCTGCCACAGATTTTGCAAAGTTCTCGTCAGATGCTATTGCTTTTTCAAAGGCGATTCTTTTGCAGATTTTATTGCATTCATTGTACTTGACTCGAGCGTCCTTGTCATTTGGCTTCACTTTGGTTACCTAAGAAAGAAGATGGTAAGCAATTCACAAATTTCCAATAATCCAATAAAATGAAAAAGCATGAAATTTTAAAACCTTAATCAAGAAGAGAATTATAGCACTTGTTATGATTCTTTGTACAGGAAAGAAATTATACAAGTTATAAAAAAGTAAAGTTGTTCTCGCATCCGATCCGGACATTGGGGATTGCCTTGTTAGTGAGACAACTTCCTGGGCCTTCGGTATATTGTGGTAGAGTGGCCAGTTCCATTCCACACCGCCTTTATTTCCCCAACTCCAAGTCTGGTAACCATTACTGCTGGGTGGGCAGGAAGGGGCAGAAAAAATCTGTGTCCGAACCGAGGCTCGAACCCGGACTTCCCGCTTTAGAGACGAGCGCACTAACCACTCCGCCACTGCACCCTACAAGTTATACATTAACAAAATGCCCCCATTTAAATCAATACAGCAGCACTAAACCAAAACAAAAAATCTTTGCACTGAATTACAAAACCATGTGATCATTCTATCTCGTATCATATGGCTATTTTAGAATTTTCACATAACTGTCCTACTGCTGGCAAGTATAAACACTTGGGTAATTCTGGAGAATTTAATTCAGGTGACACTAAAAAATGGCAGCACTGATAAAATTAATTGGTAGTGAAAGCTGAGTGAAAGTCTCAAAAATAACTTTCAGAGAAAAGAAACCCCTGATATTACTCAACAATATTTTATTTTCACACAAAAGGATGATTTGTTAAAACGTTTTGGTACCTGAAAATAACACATGTCCACATTTTGACTATATGGCTGCACATCTTTTAACATGATCCATGTCTCAATCTGACAAATTTTTCAACTTTAGCCTTTCTGTAGCCATCTGAAGAATTACTTCTTTTTTTTTCCAAGTTGTAGAAAATTACTACTGTGAAATTTACTATCAGGCCCTGTAAGGCTGTAAGGCTAACCATTCTTATCTTACCTAGAGAGAAACCACTAAAGGCTTTCAGGATCTAATCATTACATATGTTTGGTTTTGTTATCATACAAGCACAAGTTTAATAGAAGGTCCCAGGGCTGCCAACCCACCAACATATGCTGCAGTAATTTACAACACCAGCATATGTTGGGGTAATTTACAAGTAGGTAATCTGGCATAAAAATTCGTAATATAGCCATGGATAGACTTTTTCCCCATAGATGTCAAGAACAGGGGTTGCAGGCTCATGGATTAACTCCCTGACTACGGTTCCCGTCACAGGTACGGGGCGAGCGGTCGGTTCGTAGGTATGGATCCCGTACCCCAGACGGATGGACTTTGCGATTTTGTTCCGTATCTTGTGCTCCTGTCACATGTACGGGAACGGACTCCAGTGCTAGTTTCGCCACTTGTTTCGTTTCGTGCCGAGTTTGGCGGAAGTTTTGCGGTAACTTTTAAGTAATTGAAGGTGAAGGACTATCACCTCATCTGGGGTTGACCTGACCGGAACTCGCACTATGTTTTTTTCTATACAGGTGATAGTAATAATCCGACAGTCGCGTCGAAGTAACAGTCGCATGAACAAGAATCACATAATTTCACTGTTTTTAATACTCCTGTTCTTTTTGCTAGTTCTAGTGACTCAGGATATGATGTGTCTGATAGTTAGGACCCTGGATGTGTACCCAAGCACGGCCCGAGTCGTAGTTTCAGGGCTAGATCTAGCACAAGTACTGGTGTTGTCGTTCGTGCGACGAAATCACAACTTCGCTCCCTACATCTGTCTCATGTAATTCAGTGTATGGGTCTGAATAAACGCACAGACCAGCTTTTATATTTTCACCAAACACTCGCACATGGATAAAAATCAAAACAGAACACTCTGAACTTTTATTTTTGTTGTTGTGAATTTCATTCTATCTGTCACGTCTCTGGAAATTTTTCGAAAAATCAAATTCATGCCAATTTTGAAACAATCATAAGAATTAAAGTATTAGACCTAGACGACTTAAATTTTTTGCAACAGATTGAGTTTGAAAGTAACTTTACTGAGTCAAAAAATAAGTACAATAGGGTGATTCTGAGAGTTGTGGTGGAGTTTTGAAATACCCTAAAAAATGCCAGTACTCAGCACTTGTGACTGGTGAAAGGGGCCAGTAGTCAGTGAGTTAATGTACCATAATGTAAACAAAGGTGTAATGAAAGAGGTCTCGGTGGGCTCATCATTGTTGAGTTGGGGGGGCTGCTGGCTCGATTCTTGCAACAAAAGAAATTGATATAAAAAGTCTGTGATTGATCGGAAATAATGCTTAAACTTTAAAGGTATAAGCAAAACAAACACAGAAAGACTATTACTATTCATTAAAAAGTTGTAATAATATCTCTTCTCTTGCTTGAAACTGGGAAGTGTGACTGACATACTTATGAACCAGAGAGCCATTATTTCTATTTTTTATTAGCAATATTGGTCATTTGGTAAAAAAACGCCACAAAATCAAGGCAAATCCAATTGTTATACTGTCATGTTTCTAGGCAGAAGAAAAACAACACTCACAGCTTCAAAGTCTCTCAATGCGAGCTTGAATTTTCCAAGGGCCATATTGGCAGACGCTCTTCTGTAATATGCCTGAAATTGAAAATATGCCAAAATTTACATTGGAAAATATGAAGACAGCAATTGTAGTACAATTTGTACAGTGAAACTCGGATTCAATGAACTTGGATAAAGAAAACTCGGATTCAATGAACTTGGATAAAGAAAACTCGGATTCAACTGAAGGTGGATTCCCTGTTTTTTCTATTCATTAAAATCAATAAAAATAACTCTGATTCAACGAACACATAAATGAGCAAGCTTGGATTCAACGAAGTCGCTTCCAGGGTGAACAGTCCTCGCTGACATGACTTTACTCACTTTCCTCCCGCAACCAACCTAGTCAGTGTCTATCCATGGCACCTGATTGATTGATTGGGTAGATGTTTTACGGCACTATCGACACAATTTTGGTTATTTAAGCGCCAACAGGTTTCACTGCTACAAAATCAGACGTGTTTTTAGTAAGAGTCTTTCGGAGCTCGCAACCGCACACGATCATACTAGATTTTTCTCTATTTTCATTATGCTAAAAACACGAACAAACATTTATAAAAATCTTTTTGTAAATATGGAAAAGGCTTATTTGCATTTGTATATACAACACCGATAACGATAACTATATATCCTCATATTCTATTAAATAGTCCAATTTCTTTTATA